AATAAACAAAACGTCTCAAATTAAAAAAGACGAGGAAAAGCGAGTCATCTCAACAAGAGGTCCATTGAAGAGCGTAATAATCGATAGAACATTTAAGTGCACTGCAGAGCAGGACGAATATGGAACATTTGACGTGAATGACAACCAGGAACTCCTCTTAAATATGACGTTTTAAATAAAAGATTGAGCTTCAATTATTACATATATACAACAAACCACCGGGCGGACTCGTGTATATCAATATGAGAGTATTTGCAATGTTATTGATATATAAACGACAACAATTTTATCCGAACTTTAGGATTTTGTCCAAAGACGTATATAGGTACAACGTATAGGCTGTTTAAGCTGCCATAGGGGTGTATTTTTAATTATATTTATTTTCTGTGGGAAAACATTGTAATTTGTATTTTGTATAAATATAAAAAAAAAATATTTTGAAAATTTTGTAATGACAGACAATTTCCACGTTGGATTCACTTGCTTTTGTATTTTCCAAATGACTAATAATTTACAGAAAGGACAGTCTATCCTTTAAATTTTTCGAAGGGTTCATCACACATGCCCAAAATAATATATATATTTCTTAAAGCATTTAATGTATTTAGTATAATTTATATAATTTAAAAAAAAAAGTAATTTTCAGTATATTTTTCAAATACATACTTTATATTTTGTATTTTCTGTACCCAAATTGTTAAGTGATGTATCCGGCCATTCCGGCCCATTTCTGCGTAGTACAGATAGTAATAACGAGTTGAAATATAAATATTATTAATTTATAATCGATTGATATTATGTTAAATCGGTTTGTTAGCCGTATAAACTATAAGCCCTCTGGTCCACGTGGGCGTTTGAAGTGTGTATGTATAATAATATAATAATGATAATATATTAATAAATAAAAGTAATCGACTTCGAGGCCAACGCTGTACGAGTACCCGTATATATGCGTTTACATTGTCAATATCTTATCGGGAAATTAGCATAACGCACAAAAGAGTTCTAAAAAATGATCGGTGGTGGTACACGAATATGATGTTTATATGTGTGTATCGAAAGCCGCCACGGTGCAGTCTTTTGTGCACCTCGAAGGCTTCCAGTAGCGAGTCTGTATCTGCAGTTCATGGGTATATAATATTATATACGCTCTCGACAAACCAAAAAACTTAGGACTGTGGAGTGCCTTTGATGAAATGAAAATTTCGATTTAATTGTACACAAAACTCTGGTCGTTATTGATATCGAAATTAAAATAATATAACAGGTAAGACGCATCTCAGTGACTATAGGAAATAGTAAAACTATGACAAAAAATTAATTTGTATAAATGGTTTTCAATTTATTGCTGTAAATCCAAAAAAACGCTTCTAAATATCTTTTTCTCTTTCATTTTTAATCTAGAACTTATACAATCTATACTAAAAACAAAAGTACAATAAGCATAATTTATGTTTATTTAATTAAATTAAGTGTAATAGCCCGAGTGTCTTGAGGGAAGAAACCATCCAGTGAAGGTAGGTTCTTCTGAATATTCAACATTATAGGTATTACATTATATTATATAAGTAGTGCTGTGTTGGATATTATGCATCTTTGGCAATTTTGTATTAAACATTTTATATTAATTTTAAGTCGATGTTCCTTATTATTAATAACATATAATACAGGAGTGCGATACACCATTATACTTAGTACATTGAAATCAACATAAATTCATCAACATTACAATACTAATAGTTGTCCGCAGCCTCGGAGTACCTAATTTATAGCAACAGGGGAATAAAAAAATTATTTAGTTTTCGATTTGCCAATGTATTGCTCACGTACCAACCCGCTTAAGTTCAGATGCAATGAAATTACCGTTTCTTACGAATTTGGAACAGTGTGTATTTCCAACGAAATTCATAACAAATATTCAAATTGTAAATTTATACGCAATTACATTTAAATCCGTACCCTATATTATCTACCTACTGGTGTATGATAAAAAAATATTATATTATGTATGTCGGGCAAAAATATAGGGATTCGCGCAAATGGCGCAACTGTCGCGGCTCGGGACGAACGGCGTATAACAATAAAAGCCACACGACGCGTATTATTGTCAATCATATTATAATATGGTTGCTGCGAAATGTTAAAAAACGACGTTTCATTGTGTCATACGATGGCTGTGGAGAGAGAAAGAGAGAGAGAGAGAGAGAGAGAGAGAGAGAGAGAGAAAGAGAGAAAATGAGTGAGAGACATGTGACACCGGCGCATGAATCTCGTGCGAAAATCTCGCGGTGAGAATAATTTATATTATATTATTCGGCGTCGGATCGCGAAACCGATCGCTTCGGAAAACTATTATCGCCCGGTAAAAGGTCGTCGTCGGCACAACATTTTAATACTGAGGTCGCGGGTTCTTAACCACGTGTCGGGCCACGTCCCTTTTTCTCGCTTGTCCGGAACTATTGTTTGCAGCAGTATTGGTATATCATATATATTATATATGTATAATAGGTAGGTACTATTTACTAACCAGCTACGCCGTTATACGAGCAGTGCGCAGACTTTTAGTAAGTCTGTACACCACGTGTAGTTTCGACCGCCGATAAGGATCAGCTGTATAAAAAGGCCTGATCAAATGACTGGAGGAGAGTGTTCGATACGCATATTACGAGCACATTGTATAGACGCATTTAACGATATCGTCGTATATGATATGTTAGATTATTATTATCCGTTGATCAGCAGACGTTTTCTGCAGACGATTCGTTTTCCATTTATATTATTATACATTGTGTTCTATATTACATATAATTTAATATATAATATACAGTTGGTCGTCTCGCTGCAGCAGTCGCCGTTTGTATAAAATCGAACCACTTCGAGTCGTCCCGCATCCTTGCAAATGACGCGAGGTCGTCATCATATCGTGGTGAAATGATTTTTTGATTCCAAGCTGAGCTGAACTGTTGGTTATTTGGTTCTAAAATATTAAAATAATGTGTGTGAGGTTTTTTTTGGGTCAACACATTAATTATGAGCAGATTTCGTCTAGAATGTTGGTAACTCGGGGGTAGTCAATAGTAGAGAATTCACAATATTTTTTTAATCAAAAAACAGCGAGAAAACGGGAATAGGTTTTCGAAAAATGTATTTTGTGTACCAAGTTGTATAGTTCTTAAAGGAATAACCACAGAGGCTTTAAATTTTCACCAAATATTTATAGCAGTATAGACATAATATAACTCTGCGTCACACTCGCCTTCTCTTAAAAGTGTGTGCCAAAAGTTCGCATCACTATCACGTATATTTGTAGATCATACAATTTTAATATACCTCCGTATACATGTAAGTAATTAATGTTTTACACAATTATTATTTGAATATCATGATTGACGTTCTCAAGACATTAAACCTTGATGAAATTCTGCTCATGACTAAACACACTCCAGTTGTTGTGAAACCTTCGGTTTTTGACATTAGTATAAACTACGCAGCCTCGTCGATCGGATCTGAATTAGTATAAACTACGCAGCCTCGTCGATCGGATCTGAACCACTAATATAATTTTATACTTGTATAAGGAGTAGAATATTATGTTCCTTTACATCTATACAACCGTCAATAACTATTATGTCTGGTGGATTTCACCTCCACCGTAGAATATGGTTGAGATACATTTCAATTCGCTAGACTATAGATGCACTTTCTACTTCGACGACCTGTTTTTCTCATTCAGCTATTAATACTTATATTAATTACACCGTCTTTTGTGAGATAATAGTATTGTTTTAGGTTGTACAAAGTTAAAGCCTTAATAGGTGTTCTTAAAATGAATACTCGAAGGCTTCGTTTTACCTCCACGCCACAACTATATCACCTATTATTATTATACAATATAAAATATAAAAAATTTTCCTCTAATTTCATTTTTCTTCTAATATAATGAATTAAAGTACCTATTCCAGACTTGTTTCAAGAATTTTCTTTAACGAATTTAAAGTAATTATGTGGTTACGTGGTATAAACACTTAGAGGGTGTAATATTATAATTTATATTGCATCGATCAGATTCTGTAACAATACTTGTGACTGATCAAAAATAATATTTATTTGTTTAAATAAATTTAATTATTATTTATTCATTTTTAATTGATATTATACGAGTTCAAAGATTAATTTATATTGGGGAGCCCGGGGCTGAGTAATTTTTTGGGGATATCTTCCCTAGTTGCACTTATGCACTTGTACAGTTTTGCTTGTCCCTCTTATCAATATCGTGATGATATTTAGGCACATGACTACATAATATTATGATACAAATACACAACTAATGAAAAATATTTAAGCGATTTCGTATATAATATCATGTAAATATATAAATTAATATAATAATTATATAAAGAATTGTATATATAAATTGTAGTCAAAATATCAAAACCCTAAAATGTTTAACAGTCTGGTAATCCTTTCAAGGAACCACGGCACCACGTATTCATTTACAAATTTGTCGATTCGGGATGTTGATAAAAACATAAAATATCTATATATAATCTTTGATATTATTGGTATGACACAATTAATCATTACGGTTAGGAGCCGATTTTTTCCAAGCACCGATCCTCCAACGCTAAAGCATTTAATTTCAGATTAGGTGATGCGAATACAATATACCTACGAATTATTCGTGTGGTTTGTAAAAAAGTTCATTAATTGTTCATATAGATAAATGAGACGACACCAGACATAATATAAGTGACTTGAAAATCAGAAATAAAATAACAGATACCACAGCTGGTATATACTGATATAAATACTATCATGTACCATATTTGTCAATGTTACTACCATAATATTATACCTATTCGTGTTGTGTAGTTACCGCGACTGCATTATGTGTATAATCTGTCGTAAATAATTGAAAAAAAAAATAAATAAAACGGTAAAATTTATTTATTTTTTTAAAAACTGAATACGTATAATTTTTTGAATCGGCCGTATTGCCGTCATTTCGCATTTGACGCAGACGACGGATTTTGCCTGCAAACCAAATATAAAATGTACACAGAGCAATTTGTTTTTGAAACTTTTCGATAGTGATGAGCGCAGTTGTATATCAAATATCGGGTCGCATACGAACAAAAACACTTTATATTAATAACAATTATTATCCCTAGTATACGAGTCATATTATGTAATTTCTTGGTTCAGCATTGTCAGACTTCTATTTGGCTTTAAAACAATGATTCGTTTCAGATAAGTCCACGAAAGCGGTGTATTTATGAATTACTGAATCACATACATAATATGTAAATATATAAGCTCCCCACACCACCCATTAAGGTTTCCGATACTTTATCCCCACTATATTCTGTACCTTCAAACTTGCGGTCTTCAAACTTTTTTGTTCGTTGAGCCCTTATGTTGCTAAGAAAATTCTGCGGATGCCAAACAATTTTAAATGCTCATAAAATATTCATAACTCATGAAAAATTATGCATAAAAGGATTTGCTTATTAATATTTGTTTCTTAATAGCATTAATTAATTCTCTAATTAATGTCGTAACGTCACAGGCGGAAATCTATTAAAATTTCAGGAGTGACTAACATTTTTAACATCGATGTGAGTTGGGTCAGCTTTGATCACACACAACTAAAAAAGGAGGGGCTTGATGGACTTTTGTTGGGGCTACCCCCCCCCCCCCCAATTTCCGACAATGCGGAATGTTATAAGTTATGATATACTCTAGTGTGTTTGTAATTGTAAATGATGGTGTTAGAACGGTTTGAGTTATATTTGGATTGGTATAGGTAAGTTATGTACTTATATAATATAATATAATAATAATTTATTAGCTTTCTTAAGCTGGGCTCACAGTTACATCGTCTGTCGTGTAGTGAGTGAGCACCTTTAATCGTATTCTGATTGGCCACAACTGCCAATCGTGATAGTATATTAGTATTCACAGGTAACCTGCATGAATGCATGATCAACCAGGAAATTTTCAGAGTTGGGCCCTGCAGGTTAATACTGGACACGACGGATGACGAATATGCGTAGGTTAGCTGTGAACCCGACTTTACCAGATAGTTTGAGTTATATTATTTACTTGTGAAAATACGAGTATCGGCGGATCTAAAACCGTTTCAACACCATCATAGGTACGTATATTATATGGATATATTGTGTTTCGTGAACGGCAACCGCGGTTTACCAACACCGACCACGACCGACGCTCTCGCTTACCGTTTGTTACAGTAGTATACTGTGGTGACGAAGGTGAACTTTGTTTTGTTGCACCTGACGCATACACCTCGTAGACCGGCCTTCAAGTTTCTGGTCTGTTTCAGTGTCGGCTGACCGCTCCACGAAGTCTTCTGACGGCACGCCACGCAATACGTCATTGTGTATGGTTCGGACATTTTCTAAATTCGATATTTGCACTGATATAAATCCACCACGAGTCGTTTTGATAATATTACGATTTTGTATGTTATGTCCGTATCGATCCTGTTTAATACAAAACGCAAACAAATCGACGTTAGGTCAAGTATTTAGTTAAGACGTGCAGTTAAGTGTGAAATGCGAAACTCACCTTATTTTTGCGATTGATCAATTACCGAAACGTGTATTGAAACGAACCAAATAAAAACAATTAGTAAAATAACCGACAGAAAATATCGAGTGATGACGTCCCTGCAATAGTCAAATGTTACTTAGTACACAACAAGCCACTCGTCAAGGTAATTTTCAATAGGCCAGTGTATCTAATCGATTACATGTTACAACATAATGTTCTGTGTCGAGCCAGAAACGCGAAAAAAATTAAACGATTTTATATATTACTAATAAACATGCACCCTGAAACACCATTTGAATGTTGATAAATTATATTATTTTTAAGTCCTATGAATTTTACCCATACGTACACAATAATATATTAGGTAAGTACTAGAAAATAATATTATTACTGAACCCAAAGGTTTAAAGGTAGGTAAATATTAAACCACGAACCATCCCGTCATCACCCATTCATTCCGGAAGTAAAACGGTTTTTATATATTATTTTCAAACGCAGACAACGTGCATACCTGGTATACTCAGTACCAGCTATACCGTATATTCGATAAAAGAAAGTAGGTTATTTTTAATAATTTAGAAATTGAGTACTTAGAATTGATAATACATTTAAAATACAAATATAGGTTAGGTTCACACACGGATCTGGCTAACCTAACCACTGAGACCAGCGTGGCAGTTTTACATGACGTGTAATATGTGGTAATCGGCGAAAAAAGACACAGAAAAAACGGCAATGGTTAAAAACGGATATATACGTATATATATATATATATACGTATATATATATATATATACGTATATATATATATATATATATATATATATATATATATACGTATTTTACTTAAAAATTACAAAATATATTAGTTGCAGGCAGTTGATCGCCAACCAAACAACTGCTGTCGTATGGTTACATATTCCAAGGCCGCGCCCAGGATTTAATTTTTTTTTATGGTGAGGCATGAATACAATTATTATAAACAGTAATACATTTTAAATATGTACAATTTTTTCCTGTCGTTTTTTGTCGTATTGTACCTTCCTATACAGTTACCTATATACAACTTGTTTTGTTAAAGATTGAAATAATAAATGACCGGGAGACGGAGTGGCCGAGCGGCCTAAGGTGTCGACGCAGCCGACCCGCGGGTACGATTCCGGCCACGGGCAGCATTTTTCTTCGGGCAAGTCACGGTGTCCGGAGAACAAGTGCCGCCATCCCCCAACCGAGGCATAGCAGAAACCACCCGTAGGTTATATTAGCCCCATTAGAAATTCTGCCACAACACAACACACACGTGTACCAACCTACCCAATATAAAATTCACAGTCCCATCCCCACACCCAATGGCCTATATTTCCGAGGGTTATAAAATAAAAAAATAAAAAAAATAATTAACCAATAACAAACAGATAACAAAAAAAAAAAAAAAAATGTCACAGCCAATCACTCAAGAACATACACTATATTATGATAACTAACCATCTAAATATCTAATCGTGCTATAATTTATGAAATTCAGCACACTTTTGAATCACTAAAAAATATTATGAAAAAAAAGCCCTGGCCCGGTCTGAAAATAATACTAGGCTCGTAAAAAGCCAGGTCCGGGCCATACACTTTATGTTTTAAGCCTGGCCTGGTCAAAAAAATATTGTGAAAAAAAATATAATATAATTATGGTACCTATATAAATAACTTTATTGTACCCACCAATCAATATATTATTAAATTCATTGTGATTGTATCTACTGTAGTACTAACTAGTATCTATCCATAGAGTATACTCTATATTATCCGTGTGTTCCTAAATTCATCACCCGATCCAGCGGCTTATCCAGCGGATTGATTAGAATTTAGGAACACATTATTTTGCTATTGCGCTTCAACCACGAACTTAAACTTAAACTTATGGTTAACCTACGTAACCATGCCCTAATCATAATAATGAGTGATTATGATAAAAATCAGTTATCAAATTTATCAGTTAGATAAATATTAAATATTTAAATTTAAAATATTAATAAAATAATAAATGATAATTTATTTTTTTAATTAATCTTAAAATGGATAATAGTACATCCTTATTTGTTTTGTTTTTGGTTTAAATCATGGGAACAAGTGCACTTTACCATCCCATGCAAATTTTTCGATTTTTTTTTTTTGGAACTTATGTAGCTCATCGATTTAAGAACGATGGTGCAATCAGAATTTGTGGCTCTCACTTAGTTATGAAGTTATGGCCTTCCAAAGTTTTCAATTTTACGTCTATACGCATGCGCGCAACACTACTCTATAATGCCGCGTGGAGGACTATTTTTGTTATTTTTTTGTACTTACGTATTCTAACCTGTTTAAAACGATAGTGCAATAATAATTTATCCCCCGATTTGCTATGAAACACCTCCCCAAGTGGGTCACAGGGTTAAGAAAATTGCATTTTTGTTGCACCGAGTCACCGAGCGGGGCCACTCGCTCGGCGCTCTCGCTCGGACAATTAAAAATATTCCTCTCCTGGAAGTAGAAATAGTCAATCTGGTTTAAATAAATTCTCGCATTATACCTATAGTAGGTACCTACCTACCTGATAATAATTAATTATAATAATCATTCAATTATAAATACGATTTTAGATTATATTATATTATTAAAGAAACTATATTTTAATACACAATTAAAATGTCATTACGTCAAGTGCTGCGTTCTAGTGAAGTTGACCTCTCTTAGTCCCTTGTTTTTTCACTCGTTTATTTTTTATTTAGTAGTCTCACGAATAAGAAAAAAAAAATCGTGAAAGACGTGACACGTAGCGTTGCGCTCATGCGTAAAAAAACGCAAAATGGCCTACTTCCAAGGGCCATAACTTCGAAACTAAGTGAGAGCGACAAATTCTGATTGCACCATCGTTCTTAACTCGATGAGTTACATAAGTTCCGAAAAAAAAAAATCGAAAAATATGCATGGGGTGATAAAGTGCACTTTAGCCTAATTTTGTTATTTAAATATTAGGTTTTAATGTGTAAAGTAAAACCGTTTTAGTTTCTACGCATGACCAAAGTGGGAAGGCCTTTAGTTGCTTTTGAAAAATCGACTTTGATGACTGTATGGTACATGAGTAACACACTAACACGGAGACATTTCGGTAATATAAAAAAAAATTACTTTTACTATTCACATATTTGTTTAGTGGAAATGATAATTTAACATTATGTTATTACTTATTACCTACATGTTATTACGAATATAATATTTTATTACAAAAATGTATTGAGTACTTACCTAGCTATTCAAATTTTTGAATAAGTACATTAATACAAATTTGGCGCTTAAATTCTTATCAAATCAATCGGGTTTGCTACCATCCAGCCGGAAATTTTACGATTCCTGATAAAGCAATCCGATTGATTACCTCCCCTCAAACGGATTGGTCATCTGCTGAAATTAGGAACAGTCAAATCCAGCGGCTGACCAATCTGATGAGTTTCGGAACACACGGTATGTATCTATCTGCACAAACGTCGGTTTTATCATTATTATTTATTATTTAAAATTGTGATTATTTATTGTCGAAGAAAAATCCTTAAAAAGTCCGGTCCAACCCCTGATTTATTATTCGAAGTCCAACTCTGCTGGCCCAAAACATTGTACAGACAAAAAACCCAGGCCCAATTTGGAATAAAATTCCAAGACTTAAAAAGCCCGGTCCAACCCTTTATTTTATTTCAAAGGCCCGACCCGGTCCAATGTCACTACGGGCCGGGCTTTTTAAGGACCAGGTCGGGCCGGCCCGGCCCTTGCGGGTCTTTAGGAACTAGATAAACGACGGATAGCAAGGGGTATAGGACGAACGATGAGCGATATGAACGGGTTGTATAGGTACTTATAAAAAAAAATATTATGATCTAATATTTGTAGGTATGTCATATTTCAAAATAATATGATATTACTTCAAATTCATAAAATGTATTTGTTAAAAGAAAATGTCTCTGAGATGAATGTAAAGTGCCCTAAAAATGCAAAGAATGTAAAATAAATGTTTGATCTTAAAATTCTTTGTGACATATATTTTATAAACACAAAAATGAAACGATAAAAATGTTGTCACAATAAAACGTCTTTAGACGAATCCGATAAAAAAAAACATTTATAATAACATATAATATAATATAAGTGCTATAAATATATATCGATTGAAAACTCGAGAAATGCAATAAAGTAAAGATACAAAAACGTTCAATTAAAAAAAAATCTTTTGGTCGTATACCGAAATTTTACTCAGAAGTGCAAGAAATACGATATATCTATATTCTATATTGTAGTTTACAAGATGGATACACACGCACAAGACACAAATGTATACAATGTGGCAGAGCTGAGCATGCACCGATCGTTTATCGTGTCAAGAATTATTTTTTAGATCCACACTGCGGGCTACCAAACATACTATTATAATACAGCTACCCTTAAATAAATGAGAACACACTCGCTTGTAGTTGTATCATATATGTGCCTACACAGTACACGCACACACCCATATACGCATTTACAGGTGTTTGTTTCCTCTCACAATACCGTCCCAGGATCACAGCTGGGTTCCTGCCTCGCGTCACTTATGATAACGCTCGACACTTTACGATATTATCGTCTTCACTAGGTATATTATAAACGCGACCGGTGAGGTATCTTATGCGAATTTCGAGGGCAACCTGCAAGGTTAAAACCGATGAACGCTAATGAGACGTGCAGGATATTATGACGATGATCAACCGTGGTAAAATATTGTATTGTCGGTCACTGGTAAGATTATATGATAATATTATTGTTATGTGCATTGTGCGT